CATTGCAATCGATGATGTGATATTAACGGATGAAATTTGTGTAAATCCAACCGAAACTTCAGGTACTTATCTGCTAAACATTTTTTTTTTTCACATCAACTTGCAAGCCTACTTATGGGTTCTGTCTGTTGCTTTAGTTTAATTTACCTACCCGTTTTTCATGGTATTCGACTCTCTTTTTTTTTTCGGAGTGTACAATGACCTTGTGTAAAAAGTAGCCATGTCGTAACTCGCTGAAGATGTTATTTAAAATAGGCTCAAACAACAAACATATGAAATACATATATATGAACTGCGGTTATGAAACGTATATGTGCACGATCCTTCGCAGTAAAGCACTATTTAAGCAATAGTGAAAATCAGACCTGAAAAAAATTCAGGCCTGTACGGGATTCGAACCACTGACCTCTGCGATACTAGTGCAGCGCTCTACCAATTGAGCTAACAAGCCAACTGGGAGCAGGCCATCAAATTAATTCGACATAAACCCGTAGATGATAAATCAAACAACAAACATATGAAATACATATATATGAACTGCGGTTATGAAACGTATATGTGCACGATCCTTCGCAGTAAAGCACTATTTAAGCAATAGTGAAAATCAGACCTGAAAAAAATTCAGGCCTGTACGGGATTCGAACCACTGACCTCTGCGATACTAGTGCAGCGCTCTACCAATTGAGCTAACAATCCAACTGGGAGCAGGCCATCAAATTAATTCGACATAAACCCGTGGATGATAAATCAAACAACAAACATATGAAATACATATATATGAACTGCGGTTATGAAACGTATATGTGCACGATCCTTCGCAGTAAAGCACTATTTAAGCAATAGTGAAAATCAGACCTGAAAAAAATTCAGGCCTGTACGGGATTCGAACCACTGACCTCTGCGATACTAGTGCAGCGCTCTACCAATTGAGCTAACAAGCCAACTGGGAGCAGGCCATCAAATTAATTCGACATAAACCCGTAGATGATAAATCAAACAACAAACATATGAAATACATATATATGAACTGCGGTTATGAAACGTATATGTGCACGATCCTTCGCAGTAAAGCACTATTTAAGCAATAGTGAAAATCAGACCTGAAAAAAATTCAGGCCTGTACGGGATTCGAACCACTGACCTCTGCGATACTAGTGCAGCGCTCTACCAATTGAGCTAACAAGCCAACTGGAATCCCGTACAGGCCTGAATTTTTTTCAGGTCTGATTTTCACTATTGCTTAAATAGTGCTTTACTGCGAAGGATCGTGCACATATACGTTTCATAACCGCAGTTCATATATATGTATTTCATATGTTTGTTGTTTGATTTATCATCTACGGGTTTATGTCGAATTAATTTGATGGCCTGCTCCCAGTTGGCTTGTTAGCTCAATTGGTAGAGCGCTGCACTAGTATCGCAGAGGTCAGTGGTTCGAATCCCGTACAGGCCTGAATTTTTTTCAGGTCTGATTTTCACTATTGCTTAAATAGTGCTTTACTGCGAAGGATCGTGCACATATACGTTTCATAACCGCAGTTCATATATATGTATTTCATATGTTTGTTGTTTGATTTATCATCTACGGGTTTATGTCGAATTAATTTGATGGCCTGCTCCCAGTTGGCTTGTTAGCTCAATTGGTAGAGCGCTGCACTAGTATCGCAGAGGTCAGTGGTTCGAATCCCGTACAGGCCTGAATTTTTTTCAGGTCTGATTTTCACTATTGCTTAAATAGTGCTTTACTGCGAAGGATCGTGCACATATACGTTTCATAACCGCAGTTCATATATATGTATTTCATATGTTTGTTGTTTGATTTATCATCTACGGGTTTATGTCGAATTAATTTGATGGCCTGCTCCCAGTTGGCTTGTTAGCTCAATTGGTAGAGCGCTGCACTAGTATCGCAGAGGTCAGTGGTTCGAATCCCGTACAGGCCTGAATTTTTTTCAGGTCTGATTTTCACTATTGCTTAAATAGTGCTTTACTGCGAAGGATCGTGCACATATACGTTTCATAACCGCAGTTCATATATATGTATTTCATATGTTTGTTGTTTGATTTATCATCTACGGGTTTATGTCGAATTAATTTGATGGCCTGCTCCCAGTTGGCTTGTTAGCTCAATTGGTAGAGCGCTGCACTAGTATCGCAGAGGTCAGTGGTTCGAATCCCGTACAGGCCTGAATTTTTTTCAGGTCTGATTTTCACTATTGCTTAAATAGTGCTTTACTGCGAAGGATCGTGCACATATACGTTTCATAACCGCAGTTCATATATATGTATTTCATATGTTTGTTGTTTGATTTATCATCTACGGGTTTATGTCGAATTAATTTGATGGCCTGCTCCCAGTTGGCTTGTTAGCTCAATTGGTAGAGCGCTGCACTAGTATCGCAGAGGTCAGTGGTTCGAATCCCGTACAGGCCTGAATTTTTTTCAGGTCTGATTTTCACTATTGCTTAAATAGTGCTTTACTGCGAAGGATCGTGCACATATACGTTTCATAACCGCAGTTCATATATATGTATTTCATATGTTTGTTGTTTGATTTATCATCTACGGGTTTATGTCGAATTAATTTGATGGCCTGCTCCCAGTTGGCTTGTTAGCTCAATTGGTAGAGCGCTGCACTAGTATCGCAGAGGTCAGTGGTTCGAATCCCGTACAGGCCTGAATTTTTTTCAGGTCTGATTTTCACTATTGCTTAAATAGTGCTTTACTGCGAAGGATCGTGCACATATACATTATATCTCTTATTGATCAAAGAATCTAGAACCAGTCAATTCCTAATACAAACAACTTTTGCCATATTTTATAATTTTGTGATAACATGAGTACAATACATTAACCACAAATAACCGTATACATTATGTCCATATATTATGTCCTTTGAAGATTAACTCTTTTTCACTCGGTTACATTTCCACTAGCGAATTACAGATCGAACGTTTTGTTATTGGCTTATTTCCAAACGGCCATCATAATGTCTTCTTTTTTTTAAACTTGAAAATGACAAAGTCAAGGAAGTGACGCTAACAAACGATGCGGCGCCTGAATCTACTTTTATAGGAGTTTTGCTAAAAGCAGGCCGCCGCCCCGCGGCTCACGGCCCGCGGCCGCGGCCCGCGGAGCGCGGCCCACGGCCCAGCGGCCTGGCAGTCCGAAGGCCCAGCGGCCCACAACGGCCTGCGACACGGAGGCCCGGTGGCCCAGTCCTGATTTTCCACAGTTTTTCTATCCAGCATTGAATCCACGCGCATGCACAGATCTGCATCGGGTTTGGGCGCGCAAAATGGACGACAACAAGTTTGAATTCGTTGACCATTTAATCATTTGAATCCTTGCTCCCGTTTTGTAGCATGTTGTTCAGATAAAAACGTTTTGATTCTCTGTTCATCAATCTCTTTACAGAAACCGATTATACAATAGAGGAATTTTATTATCGAGCGTTGAAAGTTATTTTCAAACCATACTTTGAAAGTGAAAATATCATCAGTGATGCGATAAGTGAACTGCGAATCTCTTCTATACAGGAACTCCACCCCAAAAGGAAAGCGTGTTCTCAAACATTGCTTTCCGGCGATGTAAGTACCGTATTTATTCGAATACGGTAAGCGCTCCGTTGGCTTATTAGATTTTTGGTCCTTAAGGGCGGTGGGCCCTTATTCGAGGCTGGGCACTTCTTAAATTTGCACTATTCTTAGCAAGTAGCAGAATTTTAACTTTTCATTGAAAGTTTTTGTTAATTTACTAAGGAAATTCTGTGTTCGGGTAAGTCTCTAAGTGAATATCACTGTCACTTGGGTCAACAAGCGAACTCTACTTCTCAGTCGGGCGACCGATCGATTTGCCGACGCTACCCTGTCGGACATCGAGGAGGCAGCTCCTTATTCGAGGTTGGGCGAAGAAATACGATACATTATTTCGGGTGTAAAAGGAGTATTTTTCGATCACGGCGAAAAGTGGAAAAATCAAACCCCGCCATCTAGAAATTCAAATTTGTTGTTTGTCAGTGTGCTTCAATTTTACCCTTGGTTCATATTTTCTGAATCAAAACGTTTTTATCTTAACAACATGTAACAAACAGAAACAAGGATTCAAAGGATTAAATGGTCAACGAATTCAAACTCACTGTCGTCTATTTTTGCACGCCCAAACCCGATGCAGATCTGTGCATGCACGTGGATTTACTGCTGGACAAAAACTGTGGAAAATCAGGACTGGGCCACCGGGCCTCCGTGCCGCAGGTCGTTGTGGGCCGCTGGGCCTTCGGACAGCCAGGCCGCGGGCCTGCTTTTAGCAAAACCCTCCCCCCGATTAGCTCAATGGATAGAGCGTTGGACTGTTGTGCAGGAGGTCGAGGGTTCGAGCCCCGGCCGGACTAACACTCAAGGTCTTAAAATAAAAATGAAGAGAATATGCTACCTTTCTATAACATCAAGAAATGGTTAGATATTCTAGTCTTCTCGGATAGGGACGAATAAGTGGAGGTCCCGTCTCCTGCAGGGTCAGGGGTAGGAGACGTTAATTTCCCACGCACGAGATTACTGTGTGATGGATGTCCTCCCCTTGGCTGGGATGGGTGGGTTTACTGGG